GCCTCTGCCTCCTGAGTGTTGGGATTAAAGACAGGCATGACCACACCTGGCTCTGAAGTGGATTTTTGAAAAATTCCTATTTTTGAGGAGTAAGGGTTGGAAAACTCTATTTATTTACCCATTTGATGAGTATTTAATTTAGTATGCAGGGCATATATCATAGTGAAGAAAGATGATAAAAAAAATGCCCCAGTAAGGTTCTAATTCCAAGTGTCACCAAGTAGGCCCAGGGACAGAGTCAGTGACCTTCCTTCCACCCTGCTCTGCTCCTGAATCCTTCTAGCAGACCTCAGACATACTTTCAAGTAGGTGTCCAGCCCTTTTAATAATAACAGTGATTTTGAGGAACCGGCAAAGCACCGGCCGGTGACTCAGGGAATGGAAGTTCTCAAGACAGCTGAGTAGCTTCTGGGCCACTCACCAACCACATGCCTTAGCCAAAACCCCTGTCTGTGGTTGAGAGCAATGTGGGTTCTGTGCCTGGAGAAGCCACCGAGAAAACGGGACTGACACGATGCAGGTGGAGGTGTTTATAAAATCATTTGTGTAACTCTTGACATATTATATGCATGGTTTCAGGTAATTGTAGAAATATAGTGTTATATAAAAAAGAATGACCCATTCAGCCAAATCAATGGCACTTCCAGTCATCTCAGAAAGTTAGCAGTGGTGTTCTGGGGAGTCAGGGTTAAGTTTGTTGACTTGATGAGACGTATTGTTCAGTTGCCCCTTGAAATATTTAGTTTGAGCTGGATGCAGCATCGACCAAAACCAGTAGGACCCAGACACAGTGAGAGTCCCTTCTCAGAGCTGACATCATCTGGGGAGGAAACAAGTGGGCATTTTCTCATTCAGTCATCAAACAAACATTTGCTCTTTGCCGACTCTGTTTGGGTCATTGCTTATGCCCTCGGTGTCAGGAAAAACACCACTGCCTGACGTGGTTTACCTCATAATAGGGGGAGATAATTAATATATAGAGATGTGTTTATGTTGGGTAGTGAGTGCTACAGGAAAAATGAGATCAGGCTCTGGATGGTGGGATGGAGGGAGGGCGACTGTGTTAGTTAGATAATTAATGCCAGCTGTGCCAACAAACAAACCTTGCTATTCCAGTGACTTAGCCCAACAAAGGCTTTTTTCTTCTACAAAGTAGGGTTGGGAGTGGAGACTCAAGGACCTAGACACACAGGCACTTTCTATCTCGCTTCTTGGGTCTTCAAAGCAACAAACAAACAAACAAATCAATAAATAATTTTTAAAAAAGGCTTGGTGGAACCAGGCTGATTCTGAGGAAAAGGTGCAGCCTGGTGGACCTCTAGGGTAGGTGGGGTCCAAGCAAGCGAGCAGCAAAGGCAAAGCCAAGGGTAGTCCCAAGAAGAGTAAAGTGTGTGGCCACCCAGTGGAAGAGGTAGCCAAGAGCTAGGAACTTTGGGTCTCTCCAGCCACCGTAGAAAGTGAGAAAATATAGGTCTTTGGGACTATCTGGTGTCTCTTAAAGAATTTTAAATATAAAAATGTAACAAAATAGAAACTGTTGATAGCTACAGTGACTCCATGAACTGAATTAAGCATTATGTTCTATTTTTTAGAGCAGCAGTTCTTAACCTGTGGGTCCACATCCTGAATATTAGCTTTACATTATACTTCATAACAGTAGCAAAATTACAATTATGAAGTAGCAACAAAATAGTTTTATGGTTGGGGGTCACTACAACATGAGGAACTGTATTAAAGGGTCTAGGAAGGTTGAGAACCACTGTTCTAGAGTAAGGCTTCTCAACTTTTTCCCATTTATGACTTTTTTATTCAAGAAAAAATTATATAACCTTAGATACATAGCTATATATAATCATTATAAAAAATCAAACATTTACTGATAATAAATCAATTATTTCAGACCATTATTTTCTATGCATATAATTTCACCATGAATTAAAGACAAAAATTGCATATTATTGAGATAAGTGTGCTTTTCTGTTTTTAAATAAGCATTACATCTTAAGTGAAAGTTTGGTACTGGAAGGCACAGCATCTTCAATGTTTTTCAGAGTTGATTGACATTTGTTTTTATAATCATCAATGCTTGAGAACATCATTTCCCATAAATATATAGTAAAAAAAATGCCAGAAGTATATTTAAGGTCATCTCATAAATTGCTAACAATTCTATCCTAATCCCAAGCCAAAATTCACAAATTTTTGTAAACTTAAGTCAGCAACTTGAACAGCAGTTGTAAAATCAAACACTCGAACACAGTCTAAAGAGGATTTGACACATCCATGGTGAGAAAGGACAGCGTGAAGCTATTCTCCTTTCTACTATGGTCCTATAAGAGCAAAGAACTTCATATGCACGCTAAAAACCACCGCTGCTTTAATACACAGTGGTCTTGAATCACAGCTAGGGCCCATGGCGTAGCATTCTTTGGCTTGCATGTCTGATGGCGTGCACCCTGCAGAACCATGGCTGCTGTGAAGTTGAACATGCAACACGGCTGAGTGCTGCTGGAAGCACTTCAGACCCGTTATGTATTTGTTTCTGAATTAGCTATTTCTGTTTGTTGCCTGTTCGGGAAATTTTTACTATTGCCAATTTTTTCATGACCCTCACATTCAGTTATGTGGCCTCTATATGGGGTTGTAACCCACAGTTTAAGAAACCATCTTCTAGACATATCTTTTGTAAATGCATTGCTATATTCACTCCCCTGGGTGAATGATTGTAGGTTATTAATGCTTAAGCACATTCCTGCCATATCCATGACCCTCTAGGGGTAGAGTGTTTCCTACTATTCTGACCACAGGACCAAGCATCGTGACAGTTTGTTAACCTCTCTCCCAAACCCTTATGTCTGAAAAGCATGAAATCCTTAATGCTGCTCTGTCAAGCTGAGCTCTCACAGATGTGTGTGCACTTGGACTATCAATAGACTCAACACCCTGGAGGTCCTTAGTTATTGCTTCCACAGTTGTTCAAGCCTTCTGTAAGAGCTTCATGTAAACTTCTGGAATTGTTATTTATTATAAATATATATTCAGGCTGAGATAAGCCTGAAACTATGTAACTAACTCTTGAATCTAAAGTTTACTACCAAGTGAGTGGTGGAGTGAATCTACTGTGTTTTGTCTGACACATTGTAGACTAGACGAACATCTCTTGAGTTACTACATAATATAAGCTGTTTAGTTATGTTGGCTTCATGTTTCTGATCATGCCAAGTGGTGAAGGAGAATCCCAATGATTGCTCTCCATGAGAATCATCATATCCAGAAAAAGCTGCACTTCAGAACTAGCTCCGGAGATTGAGTTATGGTTTTGCATCAGGAGGCACAGTGTGAGTCTGGTGTACTGGGTTAGGGGCTTACAACAAGAAGCTTAGATTACCACAGTGCTTAGGATAGTGGAATATTCTTCTGATCGGATTCCCAGACTGTCATAGAAAGGGTTAGAGGACAGGCTGAAATTAATGACATGTGACTACAGAGCTCCAATTAGGGCTTTCTTCAAAGGATTAGTGCTGTGGGATGTTCTGTATGGCAAATGTGTTGCTCTGATTGGTTGGTAAATAAATCACTGATTGGCCCGTGACCAGGCAGGAAGTATAGGCGGGACAAGGAAGAGAATAAAGCTAGGAAGTGGAAGGCTGAGTCAGAGAGACACTGCCAGCCGCCATGATGAGAAACAGCATGTGAAGATGCCGGTAAGCCACGAGCCATGTGGCAAGGTATAGATTAATAGAAATGGATTAATTTAAGCTGTAAGAACAGTTAGCAAGAAGCCTGCCACGGCCATACAGTTTGTAACCAATATAAGTCTCTGTGTTTACTTGGTCGGGTCTGAGTGGCTGTGGGACTGGCGGGTGAGAGAGATTTGTCCTGACTGTGGGCCAGGCAGGAAAACTTTAAGCTACAGATTAGGCTAGACTTAGTAAGGAGAGTATGAGAAAGTAAGCCTTGGGCAAGTTATATACTGAAGGAAAAGATATGAAACAAAGCAACTATAGGAGACTGGATTTGATAAAAATCTCAGGAAGTGAGCTTTTATTGAGGAGAGGAATGGTCAATGACCTAGGGGGAAAATGTAAAGGTGTGAACATAGGGACCTTCCCTATTGTGTATCACACCTGTAACTGCAATTTTAGGATTCTTATTCTCTTTAGGGAAGAGGTCAGAGATTGTGCTTCCCCAGATAACAACAACAGCACAGCAACAACTGTACCCCATACATCATTTCCTTCACCAGTAAAATAAGGATGACGTTATCGCGGAATCCACACAACCCTAGGCGTTAAATGCAATGCCAGCGACTCGCTCAAGGTCATACAGCTAGTCAGTGTCAGAATCCAGACTGGCACCTGGCAGCCCGGCTCTGAAGCGGAGCTCTCACGAGTGCTAGCTTTCTGCATGCACTTACTGGAAACTTTTCAGCTCCTCTCTGGCTGCACCACCCTGGCCTCTTGACAAACAAGGACCTTCCCGTCTCATCTCCTTGCCAACAAGATCAGAGAGTACAGGAAAGAAAGGAGCTGTACCTGCAGCGAACACACCCTTGGCAAGGACATCCTTATCAATGCAAAAGCTAATCCTCATCGTGCAAGCTTTTATCACACACGTGGGGGTTAAGTCATTTTAGGAGCATTCACTCCGAGCAGTCAGAGAGGGAACGGTCATCGTGGATACAAATACTCACTTTCTAAGAAGTGTCTTTTGACTGGAAACACCGAAACAACGTCAGAGGATTCACTTCTGAAAAAGAAAACAAAAAACAAACCCACCCGCAGCGCGGTCCACCTAAAGGCCGCCAGTTTTTCCACACCCGCCACGAGGGGGCAGCGGCGGCCGCGGAGTCGGCGCCGGCGCCGGGGCCGGCGCGGCTGCTCGGCCATCGCTTGCTCTTGTCTGGCACGCGGCTCTCGGCAATGGATTAGCGCCGCTGGGGACGTGGGAGGCCCGGGCCCCGCCCCCAGCCGCCGGCGGCGGCGGCCCTGAGCAGCAGTCCTGGCTGCAAGCAGAGCGGATCGGCGCGGAGGGCGCGAGCGGAGCGGAAAGCTGAGTGTGCACGGCCCTCAGAGCTCCCCTCGGCGCACAGGGGCGCGGGTACTGACCGCGGGGCCCTCGGGCCGGCCCGGGCTCCGGGCGGCTCCGGGCTCGGGACCATGGCGCTGCGCGCCCGGGCACTCTACGACTTCAGGTCGGAGAACCCCGGCGAGATTTCTCTGCGGGAGCACGAGGTGTTGAGCCTGTGCAGCGAGCAGGACATCGAGGGCTGGCTCGAAGGGATCAACAGCCGCGGCGATCGCGGCCTCTTCCCGGCCTCGTACGTGCAGGTGATCCGCACGCCCGAGCCCGGCCCTCCGGCCGACGGCGGCCCTGGAGTCCCGGCCCGCTACGCCAACGTGCCACCCGGTGGCTTCGAGCCTCTGCCCGCCGCTCCGCCCGCCGCCTTCCAGCCGCTGCTGCAGCCGCAGGCGCCGCCGAGTTCCTTCCAGCCGTCGGGCGCCGGCTTCCCGTACGGCGGGGGCGCCCTGCAGCCGTCGCCGCAGCAGCTGTACGGCGGCTACCAGGCCAGCCAGGGCAGCGACGATGACTGGGACGACGAGTGGGACGATAGCTCCACGGTGGCCGACGAGCCGGGCGCGCTGGGCAGCGGCGCCTACCCCGACCTCGACGGCTCGTCCTCGGCTGGCGGCGGCGCGGCTGGTCGTTACCGCCTGTCCACACGCTCCGATCTGTCGCTGGGCTCACGGGGTGGCTCGGCGCCGCCGCAGCATCAAGCGTCTGGAGCCAAGAGCTCGGCCACGGTGAGCCGCAACCTCAATCGCTTCTCCACCTTCGTCAAGTCGGGCGGGGAGGCCTTCGTGCTGGGCGAGGCGTCGGGCTTCGTGAAGGACGGGGACAAGCTGTGCGTGGTGCTGGGGCCCTATGGCCCCGAGTGGCAGGAGAACCCCTACCCTTTCCAGTGCACCATCGACGACCCCACCAAGCAGACCAAGTTCAAGGGCATGAAGAGCTACATCTCTTACAAGCTGGTGCCCACGCACACCCAGGTGCCCGTGCACAGGCGCTATAAGCACTTCGACTGGCTGTACGCGCGCCTGGCTGAGAAGTTCCCCGTCATCTCGGTTCCCCACCTGCCTGAGAAGCAGGCTACCGGGCGCTTCGAGGAGGACTTCATCTCCAAGCGCAGGAAGGGCCTGATCTGGTGGATGAATCACATGGCCAGCCACCCAGTGCTGGCGCAGTGCGACGTCTTCCAGCATTTCCTGACCTGCCCCAGCAGCACGGACGAGAAGGCCTGGAAACAGGGTAAGCGAAAGGCTGAGAAGGATGAGATGGTGGGCGCTAACTTCTTCCTCACTCTGAGCACACCCCCGGCCGCCGCCCTGGACCTGCAGGAGGTGGAGAGCAAGATCGATGGCTTCAAGTGCTTCACCAAGAAGATGGACGACAGCGCGCTGCAGCTCAACCACACTGCCAACGAGTTTGCGCGCAAGCAGGTGACTGGCTTCAAGAAGGAGTATCAGAAGGTGGGCCAGTCCTTCCGAGGCCTCAGCCAAGCCTTTGAGCTGGATCAGCAGGCCTTCTCGGTGGGTCTGAACCAGGCCATCGCCTTCACCGGAGATGCCTACGACGCCATAGGCGAACTCTTCGCTGAGCAGCCCAGGCAGGACCTGGACCCAGTCATGGACCTGTTAGCACTGTATCAGGGGCACCTGGCCAACTTCCCAGACATCATCCATGTTCAGAAAGGTAAAGCCTGGCCTGTAGAGCTAGCTGGTGGTGTGGGGTGTTTTGTTCAGGCTGAAAGCAATGACTTTGATAGGCATACCCCTCTCTGGGTTCAGGTTCCGGTTCATCCTCTATGTCTGGGGTCCCTTAGGGGTATGGACTGTTGGGACTTCCTTAGAGAGTTTCCAGTGGATTGCTTGATTGCACCTTCTAGTCAGAAAAGGTGCTCAATGTGTTGTCATTTCAGAATTTGAATGGGCAGGGAAGTCAGCTGCTCTGGTCTATATAATCGTGTGGACTGGGGCAGAATTAGCAGGGGACCTAAACCAGGCTAGGCATCCCTTTGAACACCGCAGTGCTGGCAGAGATAGGAGACTAGGAATAATGGATGCCTGGGAATAAAGGTAAGTCAGGCTTTCCACTCAGTTCCTGCTGTGGCCGGGGAGTTTGGCCAACCCTGTTCACAAAGCTGGGGCAGCACAGGGACTTCCTGTGTCAGCGTCTTATGAAATGCCCTAAGGGGCTCTCTACCCTCAGGAACCCAGCTCTCCTTGAGTTCGGAATTTCTTAACCAGCTGACGTTTGGGCTGTTCTTTAGGATGTAGGGACGCTGGTTGGGACAAAATAGTGTCGTGTCTGAGAGCAGTGAGTTAGCCGACCCAGTGCCAGAGTGTGCTGCTTTTAGTAGTTGGTGGTGGTACCGGCTTTTGTGAAAGCACGGACTCTGCAGATCATTTTTTGTAAACCGCAGCAGCCATGCCTGCCTGACCTGAGGTTCCTCGCCAGCAGGCCCTCCGATATAATGGCTCTATTGATAGAGAGAGATGGGGAGGTGTTGCTGTTAGGAATGTGGCCTTGCCTCTGGAGGTCCGCTGTGGGGGAGGTGGCAGCAGGCAGGCGGTCACCTCCTGTAGCATCCTGGGCTGGTGGAAGGCTGCATGGATAACCAGGTTTGGCCTTGGGTGGGGGTGACCTGTTCACTTCCCTGCCATGGCGGGGACAGAGCATTTGGGAACATCCCTGATCTTTGACTTGTTCTTTCTTGGGTTCAACTCAGTTCTTCTTTCTGGTTCGCTGGAAGCAAACAGAACAAATCTGTTCCCCATCATGTCAGGCCCTTAGACATTGGGGACATCAGTCTCTTTGCCATCTCCTTCCTTTCTGCCCCTTTCCTTCCTCTTCCCAGTGTGACAAGTCAGTCCCAGTCTGACTCTTAATAAGGTGGGGGGATGGGGAAGTTCAAAGGTCTTGAGTCCCTTCTCGCTGCTGCCTTGCATATCGGTGGTACTAGTTTCCTGAGCGAACAGCAACTTTCTTGACAATTTGCAATTCATAAATACAGTCTAAGACTGAACTGACTCTTTGAGCAATAATATTGCTGCTGGCCTGTATTGAACCCACATCTACATTCTTTCTGTTTTATTTTTAAGTTTGTTATGAATCCTTACCCTTCTGGGCTGGTGGGAGTGAAACTGACTATTTGAGTCTCAAATGTAACATCTTACCATTTAAATCCTGTTGCAATACTTCAGTCGGTCCCACGCCGCCGGCTGCCTACCGATGGATTTCTGTGGGTTTGTACAGAATGTTGACAATACCTGAAGAAGGGCAGGACCAAGTACTGACTGCCTCCTAGGTGGTGGGGGCGGGCAGGTGTCTGCTCCCCCTCTGTGTGGGTTCATTCACTGGTTCTACTGTCTGTCATTCGGGCCTTTGGCGTGCCCTGCTGTGGAAACTGAGTATCAGAAAAGCTGTGTTTGTCCCATGGACTGCTGGAATGTGCAGTGAGTCTAGTCAGCCATTGAGGGTTTTTTGTTTATTTTTTTTCCCCTAAACCATAAAGCATGGATTGTCTCCTGTTGCTTGGGACCTGGAAATCCTTCCTTTTCAAACTGATGTTTCAGATGGTTTAAACAGTTCTACAGGGTAAACATCTGTAGGCATTACTTTCGGGAACACGATTGATTGATTGATTGATTGGTTGTGATGTTTTTTCTGCTGTCACCTTGGTGTGTAATGCACAGGGAGCGTGAGTCTCTAGATGACTTCTTTTAGAATGCTGCCACTAAAGATGGAGTGTCCAATGCATAGGGCCAACGTTGGTGCAGTATTAGAGGTGCAGCTGAGATTAAAATCCTAGCCCCCTGGCCTGAGGGAAGCTTTTTGAGCATGCCTGGGGACTTGGCGATGTAAAGGTCAGCTGACCCTCCCTCCCTCTCAGCGGTGGAGTTGCTGTTGCAATGACTCTTTTTTTTTTTTTTTTCAGTCTGAGCATTTGGGAGTCTGTTTACTGCTTGAGCTGCTGGAGTGTTTTGTTTTGTTTCCATTACAAGGTCTCAAAGTATAATCACATCGAAGGGCTCTCCTGACTGGAGAATAGCAACTGCAAAAAGAACAGACAAGAAAAACTCAAGCGACTTCCCAGTCTTTTGCTGTAGGTGATCCAAAGTTTTTATCTCAGTTTAGGAAGAAGTTTTATAATTGGACATTCACAATAATTGTCTCACTTCTGGTGCTCTCATTGTTTAAAGGAAAGGCAGGTTTTTGTTGCTTTGACATTTTTCATGCGTGGGAAATTAAAATGCAATCTGATGGAAACTTCAGTTCCTCATTCAAACGGTTGTAAGTAACAAGTGCTTAAGTGAGTTGTGACCAGAAGATTGGGTAATAGACACCGACATGGCCATCACGGTTCAGAGTGTCAACAGCACTGTCTGTTGACTTCAGTAACTCCGCTCCTGAGATTCCGGAAAGTTAGTTACCTTTCAGTGTGCTTTTCTAGTAGTTTTCTTTTCCTTGGGTAATTTTGTGGCAATGCTTACTTCCCTTGTGAGCTTAATTGATAAAAAGTGGGAGGGGAAACAGGTTCTGCTGGATCCCTGTTACAATCCTCCCAGTTGTTCACTCCGTGAGCATTATTAACTGGTCATCGCCGTGTCTCAGTACACCCAGTGGCCTCCTTTGGGAAGCTGAGCCATCCTGGTGGGGACCCCCCACTACAGAATGGGGGTGGGTATGCTTTAAATGTGATGGGCTGGCTTTTGCTTAGGCTCATAAAGGTTTTAGTTTAGTACTTGGAGCCAAAGTGAAGAGAGCCATATGGTTCCATCAGCTGAAAGAGAATTCTAGAATTGTGTTTTTAAGTCAACTAATGGACTCTTGGATAAATAGACCTACTTAGTTTAATGGAGTGGAGCGGAGGGTGAGGGGGTTGCTGTAGCCTGTAATAACTAACGTTGGATGGACATTTAGAATGTGCACAGATCGCAGTCATATTTTGCTTGACTTAACAGGAGGATTTCTTTCAGCTCTTCAGAGCCTCTGCAGGCAGTGTGTACGCTCGGGCCCGTCACTGACCCGGAAACTCTGTGGCTCTGATTTTGTTTCCCTCAATGGTAACATTTTATCTTCTCTCCGTCTGTGGTTCTTGCCTGCAGTGTGCTTTGATACTGCTGAAGCCCAGGGACTTTGAAGCAGTCGGTGGGAGAGTATTTAGTAGGGGACTCCCAGCCTGCTCAGTTTGGTTTCCAAAGATGTGATTAGCTTCTCCAGTTTGATAAAGCCACAACTGGATGGCTGCAACTCAGGGTTCAGAAGTTTTGTGTTTATCTCTTGAGGATTATAGTAGGAAAGACCAGAACAGCAAAATGAAGAGTTCCCTTGTTCTTTGCTTATAAATATGAACCAGAGGACTGGAGGAAGCCACATAGAGCAGTTTCTTTATTCCAAGGAAAAGGCCTCAAACCATATTCCACACTGAAAGATAACTCATTTTGGGGAGAATCTTAGGAAAGGGGCCTCTGAAGCCACAGCCTGCTAGGCAGTGCTGTTCAGTGGAACTTTCAATAATGACAGCATGTCTGTTGGACGAGACCTCATTTGTCCCCTGTGAAGCAGGACTAGATAAATAGACAGTCCGATTTCTGTATTCTTCACTTGATGGTACAGACTCTATTTCTTTGCTCTCTAAATGGTCCAGATGGCCCTCCCTGCCTTTTCTACAAAAAAATAGCCCCAGGACCTGAGGCCTGATGGCCAGGAGCTGGCCAGCCAGCCCTACTGGGTAGAATTTCACCATTGTGCCGCCTTTCCCCACCCTGAGGAGGGTAGGTCTTGTGTCCCTCAGACATTAATTAAAGATAGCCAGAGTCCCAGCAGGGCAGACAAGGTGAGGCCTTGCTGCCCGGCTTCCATTCAGTGCCCTGTTCTCCTGTGCTAAAAATAGCCTGAAGAAGGTGGTGCCCGGAATAAAGAGAAAGGGCTAAGGAGGAGGGCTGTTTGCAAGTTCATCCTTTTGAAACCCCTGGGCCAGACATGGAGGCCAGTCGGTCTTTTTGTCTGAATTCAGCTGGAGCGTTTCTCCCCTCCTCCCTCCACTCAGCTGTTGACTTCATTTCTAGATGTAACGTTTGTCCCAGTTGACACTTTTCTTAGTGGCTCTAAGGTAACCTCTGGGACTTCTGAAGGAGAGGAGTCAGTTGCTTGGTTAAAGCTTAGATGTGGCTGGTCCCTGGCTGGTCCCTGACTGGTCCGTGACTGTCTTGCTCAGACAGCTAGGTGGATGCTTCTCTCTTCTTCCTGCTGGTGGTTTCTAGACTCTGAGCTCTGCAGTCCTGTCTGCCCGACTGGGGAGCCCAGATTGTTCTGCCAATCGCAGCAGAACCGAGGGGACTTTCCTTCCCAGTTCCACCAGGAACTCTTCGCACCCCTGGGCTTCATTGGACTTCCCTTCTTGTTGGGAAATGACACCCTGTCAGATCACCTTGTGATTTCCAAGCAGGAGAAATTCTGTGATTCACTAGGAAACAGGAAACTTCCCTTAAACTTAGGTTCCTTTTTGGTGGCTCTATTAAAAAAAATAATAGAAAATATTATTTTTAATATTTTTAAACCAGAGTTTAGTATTAAATTGGATTGCATCATCTCTGAAGTCCATGATATATGATAATCACCAATAAAATGGTCAGGTGGCTGAGCTGTGTTTAATGACATTATATCCAGAAGACATAGACTGAACCATC